GAGAGGGGGAAGAGACAAAGAAACAGCGAATCCGCATCCATCGACCTCAACTCTCTCCTTCTCTCTCTCTCTTCTCCGATGCGGACAGTTCGTCGCCACGCACCAACCCACGAAGTTGTCACCCCGCTTAGTCCTCCCGCACCCGTCGGATTCGCCCGTTCCCACAGTCCGTCGTGGCCCACGTCAATCCCTCGCGTTCAGCACCAGCCCGTCGGGTCGCCCAACGCCTGCTCTACTCACCTCTTACTTCGCTCGTGTGCCGACCCTTCCTGATCGTGCAACCCCGAGCTTCCAACAACGGGTTAAGAGAGCTGACTAATCGCGCAGCCGAAATTTATAGCGTGCATGCATGCGCGAAGAACACAGAATTAACAGGACTTAGAGTGGGGATTAGAGAGGGAGCGCCTGCGTTCTGCATGATTGGGCCACGGCGTGGGGGACGTAACCCTTCTCCACGCATCGATCTGAGCATGCAAGTCGCGGCTTACAAAAATTTCAGCAAAAGAAAGAGAGGGAGGGCGGGAGAGACAAGTGCAAGAAGAAAGATACAGTTACAATGGCGCCCGCCCAAAATTACAGTTTCACACACGATTAAGGGCGCCTACTAATCAGAATCATTGCAACCGCATAAAGCAGCACGTAGACAAAAGGCACCGCGCGGCAGGAAAAATCCTAATTACTGAATTTCTAAATTCCTATCTAATGCGAAAAAGCAAAGAGCACAAATTCCAGAAGGAAAGTCCGAAATTCCGAGAGTCATCGGGGCTCGACAAAATTCGAAAAAAACTTGGAAGAAAAATTCAAAAAGAACGAAGCAATTTCCCGCGCGATGTCCACGCCCAAAAGATCGAAACCGAAACGAAAGAAACGACGTCAACTTTTATTAATCGCGCGCGCGGTGGCGCACCAGACATCCAGCCGATCAATCAATCAACCGGCCATCCCAAGACACACCCAACTCCGAACCCAGTCATTCGAAAAGAAGCGACGAAAAAGACGAAAAAACAAGGACACTGATGCAATTTTCCACCGATCCCGATCTCCCGTAATTGGGCCAACCTTCCCAGCTTAGGACCCCTCTTTGCAACCGCGCAGAAAACCGCGCATTACAGAAAGTGGTTCGTCACATATGTGACGCCCAGGGGGTTCCAATATTAGCAAGCTCCTGCTTGCTTGTCGACACGTGTCGATTTCTCTAATCGACGGACACGCGGAACATCTCTCTCTATGCCACTTACCGTTCAATTGAGTGTGGACGTCATCCAACGTGGCAACATTGCTCTTCTACCTAATTCCTCAGGGAGGGCCTTTGTCAATCCGAGGAGGGGGATTACACATGTCATCATCTAGACACGTGTCTATCAACCATGCGTCAGTGACCGCAGGGGAGGGGAAAAGGAAGCCGGTGATTTCTTCGCCCTTTGGTACTTTAGCCGGTCGGTGCAGACGTGTCAGCCCGTCCGCGTTGCTGTGTCTCTCTGTCTTCCGGTGAACGATGTCGAAATCGTATTCTTGTAGTCGCACCGCCCATCGGCCAATCATGCCCGTGTAGTTAGTGAGCTTCTTCAAAGCCAGCAGTGACTCGTGATCCGTCACGAGGCGAAACTTCTGTCCGTAGAGGTACGGATGGAAGTGTTGGATTCCCCAAACTACTGCATAGCACTCGCCTTGAGGTGCTGAGTCGTTCCGGCGCTCGTCCGGCACTGTGCGCGACCCATACTCGATGACGTGTTCACGACCATCGTTCCCCTTCTGCGCTAAAATAGCGGAAATGGCTTCTGGTTGCCAGTCCGTAATAAGGATGAACTGTTTTGAAGGGTCCGGTCGAATCAAAATAGGGGGCGTCGCCAGAGCGTCCTTGAGGGTTGCAAAAGCCTGTTGACACTCCGCGTCCCAGCTGAGAGGTTGGTCCTTACGTAGCAGATTCGTTAATGGCCGTGCAATCGCGGCAAAGCCCTTGATGAAGCGCCGGTAGTACGACGCTAACCCCAAGAAGGCTCGAACCTGCATCAATGACATGGGAACCGGGGCTTCTTTTACTGCTGCAACCTTTATTGAGTCCGATCGTAGTCCTCCACGTGTCACGACATAGCCCAAGAACGAAATTTCTGAGAGGAAAAATTCGCTTTTCTCGAGCGCAATCTTGAACCCAGCGTCTCTCAACGCGCCCAACGTCCATTCGATATGTTGCGCATGCTCGTGATAGGTTTCCGAATAGACCAGGATATCGTTCATGTACACGATTATGCAGAAGTTAATCATCCCTTGCGTCAATCGTGTCTTGTTGACGAAATTCTGGAACGTCATGTTCATCGCTCGATGAAACGTGGCAGGCGCATTGTAAATCCCCATCGGGCACCGAACCCACTGCCACGTGCCCTCAAACAACACAAAGGCCGTCTTCGGCCAATCTTCCTCCTTAACCAGAATGTGATGAAAACCATGCCGAATATAAAACTTGCTAAAATAATGAGCGCATCCAATCGCATCCAATGAGTCATCAATCCAGGGGAGGGGATACACATCTTTGATCGTGATCTCATTCAGCTTACGATAATCAATGCAAATGCGAATCGCTCCGTTTTTCTTTGGTACTAATACTACAGGAAACGACCAAGGTCCAGTGGCGGGTTCAATCCAGCCGCTGGCTTCGAACTCCCGAATTCGTTCGAGAGTCTTTTTTGCATTCAATCAAGGAATATCGATAAGGTTTGCAATGAATTGGGGAGTGATTTCCTGTCTGAATTTCATGTTGGATTACTAACGATAAGCCGATGTCAGTGCTTGTCACGCTAATCGCTCCTTGATATTCTGTTAGAATGTCTGCAATCACCTGGTGGATTTCATTCGGTACGTACTGTGGAATGTGTAGTTTGAATAGTTGGTCCCTGATCCGAACGTCAATCTGTTTCGTGTGCGTCTGTTTTGCCACATCGGGTGGAGGCGCCGAGATGAACGAATGGTCCGATCGCCAGGAGAACACCGTAGCCATCATCTGGGCATCTTCCTCCCGGATTGCCACGTGTCCTTCCGGGGTAATCCCGTCACAAATATCCTGCCATGGCACGTTCTTAGTTGTGATCTTTATCCCCAGTTCGTCTGTTGCTGCTTCGAGATGCCCAGGGGGTTCCAAAGAACTTGCTTCCGCCCCCAAGCGTAACAATCCTACTTCCTTAGCAGATGTCAATAAGGACCTGGGTAGATCCGTAATGTCACATTAATGTTTCTTGTCGTTATACCGGGCTAGGAGAGGGGTGATTCCTTCGTATAGAGTTTGAGGGGGTTCCAAAGAATCGACCATCCTCGAGATCTGCACGAGGGGCTCACCCAGGATCATCGCCTTGGTCCTTTGAATTTTTCGGCTGGTAGTTGCATCGTTCTCGCTATCATTTTGGGCGGCGGGTAGTAAATGCGCTGTCGTGCTAATTTCAAGATCTCCGGATCATCTTCGTCGCTGTTGTCCGCATCATTTGTCGATGACTTTTCATCGGCGGATTCATCCCAGGAGATCATGCGGAGAGTCCCTGCCATCATCGATGAAACCCGCGGGACCGTGTTAATGGTAGTACGAAGGGTCAATCGCATGGGCACAACGTAGGGTTTTCCTCCGGTATTTCGGAGGACGATCGATCGTCGTTCGAAGTCCAGGTTTGCTCGTAACGCCACAAGAGCGGGAAGTCCGAAAAGAACGTCGTACGTATTGACATCTAGTACTACGACATCTCCAAGCGCGTGCACTTTTCCTAATCGAAAAGCGACATTGGTCATTCTTCCCACGGTCTTGATTTTTTCTCCATCTACTGAAACGAGCCGATCTTTCTCAGTGAGCATGATCAAATCGTTTTTCCTACTGGCCCTTTCGACCACTCTCAGTGAAATAGCCAGTACAACTGCTCCCGAATCTATAATTGCGTTGTAAGGAATTCCCAAAATTTCAATATCGCATTCTGCGGATTTCCACGGAATTGGTTTAATCCGCAGAAAATGGTAGTCTCTCTGGATTAAACCTACCCGTATCGGATCCGACGTGCCTGTTGGGTTTTCTTCGGGCGTGGGGCTTTTGACTTTTACGTTCGGCGGTCGGGCGAGGGCAAATCCCTTTCGGTTCGCCTTGCAGTGCTGTAACATTCATTCATTGGCTTGCTCGGAGATCGAGAGTAGATGACCGATCGGAAGTGGAATCCGATGGTCCAAGGCTCGGATGATGTTTAATACATCGATCTCTCCTGTGACGAAGGTAGGTCCTCCCGACTCCATCTCTTCTGGAGACGGTCGCCACTTCGCCACCTCTTTCGGTTCTGACGCTGGTCTGAATGTTCCGATCATTCCAAGCCCAAGATATCCCAGTGATACGTACCGATCTAGCGAGATTAGCTCGGCGGCCTCTTCCGTGGTGGCCAGGGCACTTCCCCCACCCTCTACTTCTTTCATTAAAGCTCCGACTCGTCCAGGTCCGTTAGCGATGGGAGCCGCAGCCATAGGCGCGACCCCGATTCGCTGTTATGGGGGTCGGTGGGGGCAATCACGGGCTAAACGTCCTGGCTGATGACAGGCATAACAGACATTCAGATTGTTCGCAGCTCCCCCGAGAGCAGGGGCTGGGGCTAATCCTTGCTGCATCGGAGGGGCGCGCACCGCAATGGGCCGCATATTCCTCACCATAGCCTCTAGTCGAGCATTGTGCTCTCGCTGCTCTTTTTTGCTTTCCTGAATTAAACTAATCAATGTTTTGGTTAGTTCGAAAATGACCGCTGATTCGTTCGATCGTACGGGAGCCTCAATCGGCGGCGGGGGTAACGCCCTGACAGGTGGGGGTATCACAGGAGCAGAGATGCTCGGAGTCTCACTTAGGATTACTCGTTTGGGGCCTATCTGTTCCATATAGGTGACAGGTCTTGATACAAATCCCATGTTTTCAAATTTTTTCTGCAAGGCAGCCAGCTCCGCTCTCGCTCGTGCGAGCTCGGTCGAATCTCCGTCTCTAGGGTAGTCTTCTCCTTCCAGGAAGTTCGCCGCGAACTTCCGTTCCATTTCTTTCGCAACAACCATAATTTGTTGTAGCGTATGAGTGATGGGTGAAAATTGCTTTCGCAACTTAGCCCTTATTGTTTGGCTGCGGAGTCCGTCAATGAACAGATCTCTCCCTACTTGCTCTCCTCGCTCAGTTTTCACGAACATTCTGTAGAACCGGTTTCGATATTCTACAATGGATTCGAGAGGTTTTTGCATTCGGTCCTTGATCATATACAGTGCTTGCTCAGGGCGAATATAATCAAATCGGTTCATGAAATCCCGTTCGAAGGTCGGGAGATCCACCCATACGTAGGTACTATACCAATGATGAGCGTCTCCTCCCATTCGAGCCGGAATGTTGATCTGTGCTTCGTGATCATCGTACTGTTGTGCTCTAAGCGTGGCCAACCATGCTCCTGCGAGATGGTGCGCCGGATCAAATAGATAGAGATCTGGTGGCGTCATGGGAGCTCGTGCACGTGGGGCGGGTTGATTCGGTGGATTAGCATTCTGTTGCGGAATCGGGTTTTGCACATTGGCAGTCATATTGGCTGCTCGACGGTTAGCCGATCTGCTTCGAGTGACGATGGGGTCGTGTCTTTGCGCGTTCTGAGGGCGAGGTCGCCCACGGTTAGCCAGGTCGCCTAATTAGCGTGTTATCAATCCTAAGACCCTAGCCACGTGTTGGGCTCCGATACCAACCTCACGCCCGATGCGACTTCCTGATCGGAGTGAGATGTGGGCCTGTAAGTGCGAAAAGGGGTTTGTCAAGGATTTTGGGGGAAAGTGGGGGAGTTTTAGGGGTATGAATGCAATTAGGCGAAATGGATGGTGTACGCGTACGCGCGTGGTTTTAAGGTCAAGCCGAACACTGGTTCTGTGGGCGACGGTTTGCAGGGAAATCCCTTCGCGGAGAAGGTGGTCCAGAAAAGTTGGGCCGCCGAAGGCCGCCACGTGGCGTAGGCCGCTGCGCGTTTGAGTTGGGCCTCCGAAATTCCGAAGTTTTGCGTTCGCCGTTACGTCGGCAATTTCCGCAGGGCGTGCTGGGCCAATAGGGGGCTATGGCTGGCCACAGAACGACGCTGAGTTGATGATACGGGAGAAGAAGGCAAAACGGAAGGAAACTGGTGGTGATAACGACGAATCCCGGGTGGATGAAGTAGTAGGTGTGGTCGGGGGAAGGAAAGT